TGCTAAAGACAGCTTTTGAAATCAGTGACAGTCAAGACCCGCCCTTTTAAAAAATGTTTGTGAAGTTCTGGCTTCACAAACTGCAATAAGTTTTGGCAAAAGTTCTTATAACAAATAGTTCTTTAATCTCTATGTCAATTTTCATGACACGTGGACTGAAGGCTTTTTGTCAACTAGTTAGAATTCAGTCTGTTGGGGAATGATTGGTGAAAAATATGAAAAACAGTGAAAAAGCTTTCTTTTCATAAATTCAGCTGTGGAAAGAGGTGAGTAGAGTAAGTCACAGCTCCGTGTTGTGAACAGTAAACTAAACCAGCATGAAAAGAAGTGGAACAAAGCCAAATGTGCATTCTTTATTTGTAATACTTCTGCTCCACTTTTGTAACCCATGTCCCATTTTTGTTCTTACTGTTTGCAGTGTTATCTTAAATCATAAGGACTTTAGAAAAGGATGTTCTTCAAAATTTAGTCTCTGTAAATTATTTGACAAGTGAAATACCCAGTGGCATTTTGCTAAATGCCTTCTTATTAGACTTTCCATAGTTTCACAAAAGAAAATCATAAATCAGCTTGCTTATTTGGTATGGATACGACTATAGAATGGTGCCATGGCACTTTTATGCAAGTCTTGAATCACCCTAACTTATTTGGAGAAGAACAAAATGGGACTCTCTTCTTAGCCTGCTGTGAAACTACACTAGTGTAACCAGGCTAAATAATGTTGAGCAATTCAGCAGAGATTCTGTCTGGTAAGTTGCCATTCTGATGGTATCCCTTTTGTAAAAGCTGCTGTTTATTCTGGGACTGAATACATCTAGAAGGTCAGGTGGTAAATGTTTGCTGTTTTTAATTAAATATTTAATCACAATTCTTGCAATCAAATGTTCTCAGAGTAGATGACAAGAAAAGACAGTGTTTGGGATGGTTGGCCTGTTGTTTAATAGACAACCACTATTAACAGGACAAATACTGCTATTCTCCATTACAGGTGAGTTAGCGTGAATATAGAATCAAAACTCTTTTCTTTCTCTTTCGTAATAGTTGCAAGCTAAATGTGCTGATCTGCAGGCAAAATGTACCGAAGCAAAAAAGACATTAACTGAGGTAATCTTTCTTTTGTTTTTCTGTGCACTGATTCTAGCTGAATCATTTTTGAGAAGTTCAGTATGCAGTGGGATGTATTAAATGGTGAAGCTGTTTGACAACCTACCTCACTGATCCCATGGTGTGAGAAAGCTGAATATTGTGAATCATTTTATGCATGGAAGTGTATTTCAATTTATTATTAATTGCAACCCCTAGGTTAAGAGTTACGGTGAAAAGCTGGACAAGGAATTGGCAGCCCTGGAAACAATAGAATCTCAAGCAGATTCTAGGTAAGCTTCTTCCTCTGTGGCCTTTGAAATTCTGAAAAATGATGGTTTTAAAATGAATCAGTGAATGTTTCCTGTTTTGTCAATCTAAATAAATAACTAGCATTTAAAAATTAAACAATTCTCTAGCTTGCTTTCCAAAGATAGGAAAATACTACCATAGCATTCAGTCAGAATGAAAAGTGTCAATCTGTAGTTGAAAATAATTGTAGGTGTTTAAAGCAGAAGAACCATAGGCACATCTGACAAGTAGATGAGGCCTTCCTGATTTTATTTTCTTCATATTTGAAGCCTTCATCTCACATAAATTAAATAGGAGGCTCTCTCAAAAGTCTCACAATAATGAGGTCAGAACATAGCAAAACCATCAAAATACTCAGTATAATACACATTTTTATTTTGACCTTGGTATATCAGTGGTGATATTTAGGTTTTTAGTTTACACAGATTTTATTGGAAATTTATTTAGAACTAAGTTTGTTCTAATGTCTTTTAGTTCTCCATCTGCTTAAATTAGAAACTAAAAATCTAATGTGGTTTACTGGATCTTCAAATTTAGCATATTACAGAGTCTGCGAGCACTGGTGGCCATGAATGAAAACCTAAAAAGCCAGGAGCAAGAGTTCAAAGCACATTGTAGGGTAAGTTTTAGTTTCTTGTATAAGGATCCATTTAAAACTTGGTAAATAAGCATTATACTGCTTCCTGATTTGTCATCGCGTTGTGTGTCCCTGTCCCTCATCAGTCCTCCTCCCCACCACTTACTGGTATTTCCAGGTTCATACTGAACATTGCCAACAGCTTGATTTGTGGCAGAATCACGGACAGTTGCCCAGTTCTGCAGTGTATCACATCTGCAGCAAGGCTGGCGGTCAAGGAGGTTGGAACTGGATTCACGGGGAGAACTTTCCCCCTGCCCTGAGGCAGGGAGTCGTAAGGAAGGCTGCTGAGGCATCTGAGTTAGCGCGGCCTTCGGTGTTCTGTTGTGCCTGGGACTCTTAATAATGGGCAGTTCCTAGACACATAATGCCAGATCTGCCTTGTACTGGTCACAGTTGTGGCTCTTCTCATTCCTGTTTCCATTCTGCTGAGAGCAACTTGGGATGGGTTGACAGGGAGCGCTAAAATGTAAGTTTGAGACTGGGCTGCACTAGATACCCACTGGTGCTATTTGCAGCCTGAAATGGATTGTTGCTTCTTGGATAATGCAGCCAGCAGTGACCCCAGGAGAGGTACAGTGCCAAAGAGGAGGGCTTCATGAAGGCCCCTGGATTTGGAGCAGTCCACCAAAAGAGACAAGATTGAGATGAAGCTATTGCAGTTTTCAGAGCATGTTTCAGTTTTACTGCTTAATTACTCTGTTTTGCTTGTCCTGTTTGGACTGCCTAGAAATAGGATCGTAGAGAATTGTTTTCATTCAGTTTAAACAATAGTGGATGGGATTTAATAAAATGAAAAGAAGTAAAAAGAAATAGTGCCCTGAGGCATAGACTGAGCATAGGAACCTCATTTTCCCATACATACCCCTTTGGAAGCTCTAAAGGATTGTAATGGAAACTACCTTGCAAGTAGCTTTAGGTTCGTTCATTTTTACAAATGCCGTATGTTGCAGTCCTGTGTCATGCTATCGCTATTGCAATATTCCTTTGCTTCCTTGGTTTCATTTTCTATGTTGCTCATTAGTTGTCTTAGCTGGATCTAGGGTATTTGCAAGTAAGAAATAAATTTTTCTGTGACAAAAGCAGACAGCTCTATGCAGTGAGTGATAATGGATGCCTTACTCTTAAGCAGGGAATGCTGTTTAATCTTACAAATGTAAGTACAGTGTGTGGTCAGCTCCACAATTTTGTTAAAAGTTGTATGTTGTCAGGCTTCCTGCTAAGAGGACAGGTCTCAAAAGCAACATAAACTTTTCGTTTGTTTGTTTTAAAGGAAGAAATGGAGAGACTTCAACAAAATATTGAGAATTTGAAAACCGAGGCAGTAGAAAATGGGGAGGAACAGGTAAATAGCAAATGTCTAAGTGTTTATTTTCAGTTTGTCCTTTAGAATGCTGCTTTAGGGCCTTCTGACTTCTGGCACGCTCTTGGAAGCATTAAAGTATCTGTTGTAATCTCTGAAAAATTCTATTCTCGCACCACTGGTAAAGCCACAATTCAGGCCACTAAACACAGAAATACTCATAGTATCCTTCATTATTCTTGCAGAACCCGTGGTGCTAACTCATAGATCCTTTTGTGCCTGTTACTTCTTTCTTTGTAGTACCACAGAAGAATCTCTGGATGTTAAGAGCAGTGCGTACCTCTGACAAAAACAGGTCTTCCTCAGAAAGCATGTTTGTTTTGGTTGGTTGTTTTCTTAAAAGTGGATTTATTTGAAGGATGAAAGCACAAGTGTTTGGTGGCTCAGTACATTGCATACTGTGAGCAGCTGTCAGAAGTTAAGCTTTAACACAAGTGCATCCAGGCTGATGGCAATGAATAACAAATGAACAGAAAAGGAGCAGCTTGAATTACTTGTGTTTCAGTGGGTAAACATTTGATACATTTATGCCTCTGAAATGAGGTAGATTACAGGTTCTAGGATGTCGCTGTCCTTCTGAACACAGCGCGAAAAAATTAAAATGTAAACCTAAATCTTAAAGTTTTAAAGATTCAAGTTGACAATCCAGGAAATACATGTCAGAGGGATTATGTTCTGTGCTGGGCCATATTTATCCTTAACCCCACAGTGGAAAAACTATTGACAAATTCTAAAAACTAAAATACTAAAGACTTCAAGCAAAATGCACTTGCTTACAGTAAAAGATGTCAGTTTTTAATGCAGATTATGAATAATTGTTAAGAAAAACCCCAAAAACAACACTAAAAAACCCCAACCAGCAAATGGTGATGTTATTGTGGTACCCATTAAATGGAAGATAGACAAATACAGAAAACAAACCCAGTCGGCACGTTTTTGAGCTCCAGCTCTCATATGCTACTGTAATACACAACTGTTTTGGGTTCTCAAATTCTAGGAGCCGAATAAGATTATAGAACAGCAGTACAAAACTGAGAAAGAGAAACTTCAAAAGATCCGGCTGTTATTGGTGAGTAACTCTTTGTAAATTTACTTGTACAAAATTATTGATGTTTTTCTTATCTTGTAACTTCTACTACTTCTTTTTGTTGTTCTAACTTTAAAAAGTTTTTCTGTCACAAATCAATTACAAAAAATTGAGCCTCTGCCAACACTTCTTTTTAAAGTTAATTATTGAGTAAAGAAATACTGCTGGGGGGGGGCTTCATCCATTTTAAGAAGAGAACAAGAAGAGGCTTTGTTTTCTCCCCTCCTAACTTTCTATTCAGGCACGAAGAAACAGAGAAATAGCCATTTTACAACGCAAGATTGATGAAGTACCCAGCCGAGCTGAGCTAACACAATATCAGAAGAGATTTATTGAACTTTACAGTCAGGGTATGTATATCAAGCAGGAATATCCTGCAAAAGGCTAAAGCCCTGGAAGGAGGGCAGTTGTGTTTTAAGTATACAGCATGTAACAACAGCACTTGCTAATTTTGTGGTATTTTAAGGGTCTTTTGGTATTCATGTTATACACCTGATTTTCAAGGTTTTATAAGCTGGCTGTAAGAGCTTTCCTGAGGGTGAAACTTGAGGCACAAGATCTCTGGAGTAAACTTCATCTGCAACAGGTTCAGTCATTTAGATTAATGACCAGTGTGTTTTACAAGTCCTTAATTGACCACTTACAAATAGGTTGCTGTAAATTTGAGTTGTGTTTAATTAACTTTATCCTTGCCAAAGCCAGGACAATTGCTCTTAACATTAGATTGCTTTCATTGTTTTTCATTGACGTGAGATACCTGGTTCTGAACCAAACTATGTCAAGAACTACAAAGTAAAGGTGATTTCTTGAAGGGATTGTTTCATTTTTGATTTATAAATATCCTGCAATATCTTGGTAGGATTGGAGTACAAATTGTCTTTAACTCTTTTTATGATAAGTTAAAAATTGGGAAATGTGCTTAGTTAACTTCTTGGATAGGCGTGTGTTTGCTGTGCATGGATGGTATGGAGCATGCAAACTGAATAAAATTTTCAAGTTGTTCCGTTAAACTGATAACCAATATACTTACTGGTGTAAATTTAATGTAGCTTGTGTATTAGCATAAGCTAAAATAGCTTTCTACCAAGAAGAACTATCTAATGTTTTAAAGATATTCTACATTTATGAAATAAGTGTGTGAACCAAACTCTTGAAGGTTGAGTGGTTCTGAAATTGTTATCTAACTGTGATTTAAATGCCTTGTCCTCGTGAGGCATTTCTAGTGACATAGTCTTGTGCTGTCTAACTCAGTACATGGAACAGATCTACTTTAGTCCAGTACTTACTTCCTCCCCTTTGCTTCTTATGTGCCATGCAGTTCATTTAATCAAGTCCAGCTACAAAGACAACTTTGTTGTCTTCCATTAAATTTTCTACAGATTGCTTTCTCTGTCACGTGTGAGTGAATTCAGATAAATAATCTATCGTCAGAGCATCTACCTGCTCAGAAGATGAGGGCTTCATTTATATATGAAGTACAAAAAGATTAAGGTCAAAGAGACGTGGGCAGCTTTGGGTGTAGATTCAAGATGCTTTGAATTTGATGGGACTTTGTTTTCTATAGTACAAAATACGTGCAGTAACTTAGGATAATGTGCTCGGTTGTGGCTGGAAACTTGCATTATATGGGCTGGGCTTTTGCAAAAATGAGCTGAAAATCTAGCAAGTCTTTCTGTGAATTGTGGTAATTTTTTAGAGGCTTTTCATTTGGCCAGATTCAGGAGATCTTCAGAGTTGCCAAAACCCGTTTGTTTTGTTTTTTTGAACTTTGATCCAAGGGGTGGTAGACAAGACAATCTTCAGGATGCCTTTCAACCTCAGTGAGTCTGTACTAGACTGCTCTTAAGTTCCAATATTCCCTGCTTTATTTTTGACTGAACTGAAGCCTCTTCTCTTGAAAACATGAAGCTGTGGTTTCCAGAGAATCAATGAGCCAAGTGACTCCTCCTTCCTCTTCTTTCTCTGTCTTTCTCACTTTACGTGGGCTCTGGTATGTGCCCATAAGGCTCCATGAGCTGGTACATCTTTCTAACCCACTGGAAATCCTGAAAAGTTCTCTTCTGGGTTGGTATGTGGAATCCACTCATTAAAGATCTGTGACTACGAGAGCTGCTGCAAGAAAAGGAAGAGCTGCAGGAACAAAATGGTTTGGGAAAAGCCCCTTCCATTTGGCAGCAGCAAGTCCTGCAAAAAACGAACTAAGAGAGCACACCTGAAGCAAGCCTGTTGGTGATCATTCTGTTCACACAGTTTTTCAAGCAGCAGCCTGATTTCAGCATTTGGAAAATCCTTCTGGAACTGCTGATTAGCCCTTACTAATTTGTCAGCCTCTCACAGGCTTTCCTGAATTCCTCAGTGCTTTCAGGCTCCCAGTACTCTGTGAGCTTCTCAGGGTTACAGCACATGCAGAACATGTGTTGCAATCACACTGTGGCAATGGGAAAGCTCTTGGTCTGGAACATCTTGCTGCTGCAGAAGTAGCCGCTGCTGGATTTCTGTGACTGAAGCATTCAGCTTTGAGCTGTGGGTTGCTGTTGGGCTTCAGCTGGAGAACAGAATTGTACAAATCAAAGTTGGACTTTAAAAATTTGGATGTTTAATGATGTTGTGACGTGGGAAGGAGGTCATGCTGTCTGTAAATTATTCTGTTCAAAAGCTTAGCCCAGTGTATCCATTCAGTAAAGGTTTTATTGAAAGATAGCAACTTGTTTGCCTTTAGAGTTTAATGTAATAAGCATGATTTCACTGAGGTTTATCTGGCTTCATCATGACCTCTGGAATAATTTATTGAATCATTAGATTTCTTTTAACCCATACATTTTTTCCAGGTTCAGGATTCTAGGCAGTGCTTAATATATTAACCATAATAATTTTTGGCAACTGTCCTTCTCTGTTGAACTCTTTCCTTGGGAATCACAAATTTCTTAAGTTCCCTTAGGCATTGAAGAACTCAAGAATATAGGAAGACTTAGCAGATTTGAGTATCGGCCTTCACCTCATAGGCCCTCAAAGGCAATGCATGTGTGAGCCTTACCTTCCCCACCAAACTATGACCAACATCTGCTATAATCACCTAAACCAGAAAGCATTATTTGAAAGGAAAGTATTGTTTAATCCTATCAGCGTGAATAAACTGTAAGAAGAGGAAAAAAGGCTTTAAAACAGGAAAAACTTTCTTGAGTATCTTGCATATGTGTAGCTTGAAATATATGGCATAATGCACTTTTTTTTTTTCCCCCACCCACAACTGTCAGATTATGTCTTTCCTACCTGTCCCTGCCTAACCTGTGCCTCCCCGCCACCACAGGCAAGCTAGCGCGGGTGGCTTTTAGCGGTTGTGTATGGTGTAAGGGTAGCAGCCTGTATGGTATAAGGGTAAAGCTTACGAAGGAAGGAAGAACAAGGTGGTAAGAAAGCACAGCTGATCGTGCCAGCATATGTTTGCAGAAAGGACGGTCAGCAGTTGAGGCTTAATTTAAACACTGAGTTGAGGTGTTCTTGTAAAAATCTGATAGCTGCAAACCCTGCGGGAGATTTACATGCAGAGGAAATACTCTTTCAGAATGTATTAAAAAGTGTGTTCCATTATTGATGGTGGGAAGTACGTTATATAAAGCTCACAAAGTATTATTACAGATTCCATTTCACTGCTCTTTTATTATTCTACCCTTTTTTTGTTTGCAGTCTCAGCAACTCACAAAGAAACGAAGCAGTTCTTTACTCTTTATAATACACTGGATGATAAGAAAGTATATTTGGAAAAGGAGGTAAGAAAATGTTATTACTGTTTTCTAAATAATCAGTCTGTGGAGAAGGAGATAAAGTGTTTTTACTTGGCTTTCACCATATTCAGTCGTGTCAGAGCAGAGTTAACAGTCTTTGTAAGTAAAAATGCAACACCTGATTCATAAGAATATGTCTAATGTTGAGGGGGAAATGGTGTGTGTTGTAAAAGAAGTGCTATTAGTGCAGCATGTTTAAACTACTCACTGTGCTCACAGAACATGAGTAACATATGATTAGGAAATATCTCTATCTTGGTATCACAGGACAAAATTGCCCTCTTTTTCTCTTTTTGGTCAACATCTTTTATTATGAACCAATGCTACAGTTGGTACCTTTGGAGAGCGAATTCCAGCTGCTGTAAGCAACATCAGAGTCAGTTCTCAGGGTCTGAGCCTGCCTACGCTGAGGTCGCTGGTGATTTTACTGGATCAGGATTAGAAGACTAGTTTTCATGAAGGCGACTTGGGTTTTGCCCTCCCCTCTCTCCCCACTATGTAGAGTTTGGTTCTTTCTTGGGGATGACTTAATCAAGTGATTTCCACTTTCTTTTTTTAACAATGACAAGCATGTGATTTCAGTAAAGGTGGAGAAATAGGAACAGTCAAGACTTGATGAAAATGATGACATTACTTTAAAAGTATATAATCGTATGATATGTGAGGCTTCTCTGTTTATTCTAATAAAATAAAAACAGATTAGTTAGTTTTGCATTACTTAAATATTTTTGTTTAGTTTGTGAGAAAAGCAGTAGTCAAATTGCAGACTGTGTAAAGACACTTCATCTCCTGTTTTTGAAGATGATGAGCAACCATTTCCTCCCCTTAGGCAGCTGGTTCTAACACATGTACTAGATAGTTTTCAGTTTTTCAATTCAGAAAAGTCAGTAATTTATGTAGCTTTTTAGGGGGCATTGATCCTGACCATTGCTTGCCGTACAACACAACTGAAGGAATAGATTTAAATACAGAAATATTCTCTAACAATTAACCTATGCTGCACGTACTGCACCTGGGTAAAGCTAGGAGGAGAGGGAGATGGGGAGCAGGGGAACTTTTGGCAAGCAGCAGCCCTTCAGGTTAGAATAACGTTAGGCATGTCCAAGAGCATGGTAACTGGGGGGGGGGGAACCCAACTTTCTGTGGCAGAAAAGTATTAATGCTGCTCTATGAATGTTGTCAGAATCCAAGCTGTATCACAGTAAATTTAAAAGTCACTTCTGTAACTTAGTGATTTAACAACACACGTAAATAATATATGCGAAAACATCTCAAGTTCTGTGCTGAATTGAGCCTTATGGCTTTTTTAAGGGGGGGGTGTGTGTATATATATATAGAGAGAGAGAGAGAGAGAGGGGGTTAGGTCAGTGATGCATACAAAGCAGGATCTTAACAAAGTTTAACCTGCCATGATGATTGTAGTGTGCTCTAGAAATACGTAATTTCTGGGAGAGGTTTCAGTTTAGCATGAGAATAAATTCTAAAAATTTATTTGAGGATCTTAGGGACCATCAGGTAGAATAATTATCTTGGAATTAGTGGTGTAACTTACCTTCTCATCTCTTGAAAACACCATTAAGAATTTTCCTGGAAAGTTTTTCAAACATCAACTTCTTAGAAACCAGGAATGATGATATCACGTGATGTCAGTTACAGACTGGATGCTTGGGAACTCTAGCTGTAAAACTTGCATCCCTGCGCAAGAGTGGGTGTGCAACGGCTGCCAGTGGGACTGGCAAACGCCTTACCTAAGTCAGGAAGAAAATTATCACATGCTTTGCATCTCTGCAGTCTTTCATTGTTTTTATTTTCTTATTCCCAATGGTGAAATGTGTTCATAATATATAATACAACAGGTTGCAGATAACAATATGCCAGACTTAAAAATACTATGTTAAGTAGCAGCTATAGTATTCATATTACTTCTTCCCTAGGTTAGAGTTTAATACAGATTTACTTATTTTTTTATTTTGAGGGCAAGCCTGCAAATTTAAAAAGCACACAGAGATTGTTTTTGAAATGGACACATAAAAACCAGCTGACAATACAGAGCAGATGTGTTTCATAATTGTATAAATTGAGAATATTCTTGCCAATATAATTCAATGCATTTTGGGCAGTTTGGGTTGGTGGTTGATTTTTTTGTTGTTGTTTTGTGGGGAGTTTTGGGGGTTTTTTTTCAGTTCCAAGCTTCACTTACATGGATGTAATTTCAAATGGCAAATAAATTGATCAAGGGTTTCTTTTAGCTTGGTGTCAGTCACAAGAGAGAGAGGCCTGAATGTCTTCCGATGCAGTCTTAACTGTTAAATGTATTATATAGTTGAGGTTTCCTTGTGTTGCTTTTAATATTAGAACCAAGGTTTCAGCAAGTAAATATTGTCTAGTAATGTACAAAAGATGCTGTTAGCATCTGTGCCTCACAAAGATTTCTGGAATATGCTCGTGCCTCTTCTTGCCTGTCCCCCCACCCCCTTTTTTTTTTTCTTTTCTTCCCCCAAAACTAACCCTTTAATAACATGTGCTGATAATAATTGCTTTAAAGTAACAATAGCAGGAATTGGTATGCAGTGAAATTTTGGCTATAAAGGTTATAGTTGTGCCATGAAAGGTTTCTGTGAATATGGTTCATATTTTAATCATATTTTGTGAAAGATTAATTTTTAAAATGCTTTTAAACTCATTTTTTCATAGCATCTTTGATTTTGGGGGTTTATACACTGATTTTACTGTCTGCAGTGTAACATACCAGCACTCTTACTATGCAATAGCTGTGACACATTCAAGTCGTGAATGTGTTTCATGACTTGAAAGTTTTGCGGTATAAACTCTAATTATGTTCTTAAACACATGCTTATTGGAAATATCTTGAGGCAGAGATGTGAACTTGGCAAATGATGATGAGTCGGTCAATAATTCCTTTCCTTTAAGTAAGAGGAATTCTTAAGTATCGCAGCTGTTTTGGAGTCTGTTCAGAAATTAATTGTTTGAATTTTTCAAAGTAGGGTCAGAAACAACTGTGGATTCTGCCATGCATCTGCTTATTGTTGTCTCATTCGGATGGAAGATTTTAGATTTGGGAGAGATCAGTTTAGCTTTCCATAGCAGTGAAGCAAGTGATTCCATTTGCAACACTTAAGTTTGTTTAGTACAGAACAATTTCAAATATTCATCAAAAGGAGAAACTGCTTGGAAGGTTTAACCACAGGAGACTTGCAAGAAGTATTCAAAGCCAAGAGAGAGAATTGCATTAATTGCTACTGGGTGAATTTTAGTGCTCTCAGCAATATGTAGAAAGTAAGAAAAAAGTCAAAGGTGGTTGCATAGAAAATATTCAATGTATAGTTTAATTAGTTGGTGGAGTTTGTACCAAGAGCAACAAAATATTCCTGTGATGTTGGTATAAATTTCTATCTCTGTCTTGATTCAGTGCAATGTTAGTATCTTATAATAGAAGCCATCCATGTGAAATGCCATTCTGTATTTTTTTGAAGTTCGTCTTTTAACAGCCTGTAAAATACATATAAGCAAAGTGAGTAACGATGCATGGCTTGTTCAGAAATCCGTAAAACTCACCTGTGCAGTGAAAGCAGTGCAGAAATTCACCTGCTGTTCAGGCAGTGTTTGATGAGTCTTCACAGTATTGGGTGGAGATACTGGTTCCAGTCTCAGGAGCAAAAGCAGGGGTTTCTTTGTCACTTTTGTTTTTTGGTGTTTTTTTGGGGGTTTTTTGTTTGTTTGGTTTTGTTTCTGATGCAATGCTTTGCTCATGCTGGTGAGCTAAGTTGCAGCCTCTTGACAGAGCGATGCTGCTAACAACTCCATCTTTAATACTGTTAATACAATCTGGGTTTCTTTTGTTTGGGTGGTGGGGAGTAACTGCTTGGTGGGGTTTTTTAAAAAGATATTTCTTCATTTACTGTCCTGCCTGGCTTGTGAGCATAGTCAGAGATATGCCTAAGTGAAACTTCGCTCTGCTTTGTTGCTACAAGACTAATGATGCGAACCTAACGTAGCCGCAGTATGTGCTTGTGCGCCGTCACTGTTGAACACCAGATAAGTAACCTGTGAGTTACTTGTGTGTGAAGTTTCAACACATGTTGAACAGATGTATATGCTGTTTTACTTCATCGCTTTTGTTTGGAAAGTTGTCATGCTGGAAACCTCTCAGTGGTATAATTGGGCATCAGTAATTTAAAATTGCATTTATGGTACAAGACTTGCTTCTGCTTTCTGTGGCTCCTCCACCGGGATAGATTTTGCTAATACAGTGGGATCATGGTTTCTCTGCCAAAAGACATGGTGATTTTCATATAGCTGACTGCTTTTCAGAGCAACATCTATATAGTAAATTTTTTAACTTGAATTTCATTTTATTCTCTGTGAAAACTCGTACCAGAAAGAACAAATGTATAATTTCTTTTTTTTTTTTCTCTCCTAATTCACAGGTTAACTTACTGAATTCTATTCATGACAACTTTCAGCAGTAAGTAGTGATCGTTTTTCTCTTGAGAGTTGAAGTGAGTAGCATGGCTGGTTGGAAAAATGGGAGTGGGCATGAGTTATGGAGTCTAAATAATTGTTAGAATTTTTTATTTACGTAAACTGTTTTATAGAATAGCTTATTAATTCCGTTTAAGCCAATGTTTGGGGAATCAAAGACTTGGAATTACCTAACTTTTATAGCCAACATATGTTTTTAATATCTGGCTCTTCAGTTGCAGTTGTGGAAAGAAATCATTCAGTCATAATTTTCCTGGCATTAATTTAAATATTCTTTTCCATTTTGTGAAGTTGTGGTTATTACATTATGTACAAAACATTAAACTCAGACATATTTCAGACATGTTTATTATAGACTAACTCTGTATTTAAAGGTTTTGATGAAGTGTGAAGTCTTTAGGTAAAATCACAGTTCCCTTGGAACTTTGCGGTCAAATATCAGTCTATGATGCAGCTGACTTTTTTTTTTTGTCTATGTTTTTTGACTTCACAAAAAAAATTCTAGTATGAATTTTGTCACAGCAGTACAGTTCAGTAGATTTATGAGGGAGGAGATGGCCATTTAATAGTTTTAAACAATTCTTCCTATTACATCTTTTCATAATTCTGTTGTGAAATTATAAGCTTCTTTTTTTTCCAGAGAAAATTTTTTCCAGAGATAATTTCTAAATTATCACTTGTGTTTATCTCTGTTTGGTCAGAAACTTTGATTTTATTTTTTTAATGATTTTTTTTTTCCTGTTGTGATATCCTAAACTTTTAATTACAACAAAACCCCAGGAATTAAGTATTTCAGATGCTTTCCTTTGCAGCCAGGCTTGTAGCTCTGTGTTGCTCAGCGATAAGAACTTTTTTGATTCTGTCCAGTCAGTAGAAACCAATGCTGTATTTGACTGCTGGCGTTTGGATTGGGGTTTTTTGTTGGGTGGGTGTGCGGGGCGGTGGCTGTATCTTCTTTGGTTTATTTTTCTTAATCTGTTAAGATACGTTACAAGTCTAAAATTACTTCCGGGCTTTCCCTATTAGGGTGTGAAATTATTTTTAGAATATTTACTTATCTACTAGACCTCTACTTACCTTGTTAATATTCACAACAGCTGCTTTTCCTAAAAGTTTATGCTTTTGGTTAGTTAATAGCAATTTATTTCTGTACAACATGTGAGAGAAGGGAACAGACTTGAACCAACAGGGAGAACAATTGTGCTGAGCTCTGCCATCTCTGTTTCCATCTCTTCGATAGTTTATACCAGCCAAAGAGCTGCACTGTTACCTGAAATCGGTGCTTAAAAAGATGAATTTTTCCATAGGGCACTAAGCAATGTGAATTCTTGGACATGGGTAAATATGCTAGACAACTGTAGACGAGACATGTTGTCCCACATCCCTGTCAGTTGTTATCTTTTTTCTTTCCAGAGCAATGGCATCTTCTGGTTCTCGTGAGCAGTTTTTACGGCAGATGGAGCAGATTGTAGAAGGCATCAAACAGAATCGGATGAAGGTCTGAGACTCCTTCTCACTTTCTTTGCTAGAACCTGGGAATTTTTACAGAAAAGCCTCTTGGAGTAATCCATTACGTGAGGTGCAAATTAAGAAAGCAACTAACAAGTATTACTTCTTTTCACACCCCTAAGAAACTGCTCACCACTGAAATGTTAATGAATAGAGTAGAACAGAGGTATTACAACACTTCTCTCTGGGCAGGAAGCTTATACCCCTTAACTTTGTTATTGGCAGTGGAATGGTGTAGATGCTTGAAACAGCTGTATGTCACCTGAGTCAGTGAGCATTTTTGCAATTGGATTGCGTGGCCGCAGTCAGAGCTGTGCCCTGGGCACTGTGCCTCGGGCACCGTTTCACAGGCAGCCGGTGCTGGTGGAAGCTGCTTTCTGCTGCTGCAGAGGGTCAGCAGCACCTCACGGAGGCCCAGCCATCAGCTTCCCTTCTCCCAGTTGCAGCGCTCATCTGACACCTTGCTGAATCTACTTGGGTAGTTTTTTATTGGTTTTGTTATTTTCAAACTTTAGGAGCTGAAATTCTGTCAAAGAGAATGCAAAAATAATTTTGGGGGAGAGGAATACAACAGGGCTTTTTTAATGTGGTTGTACCATAGCACCAGAGGGAGGGAGGGAGGGAAAATTTACTCTCTAGACTAGCACTAAACGTGGGTGTGATGCTGTGATGGAAGAACTTCATTAGAACTCCCCCTGAGAGGGAAGGCAGTCTGTTCTATAATTAGCCCATCCTCTTCGTATTTGGGGTCTTAAGTCACGTTCATCACAACTTTGGCACGAGGAGAAAAGAGATTTCTTATGTTGTGGGTCTTGAGCAAGTACAGCACTGCATAGGCAGGTAAAGACGTCTCCTGCCCTCCCTGTTTATATACAACTAACACAAACAACCAAATCAAGATCTCAGTGGTGCATCAAAAACCTTTTTGTTTGCTTGTTGGGGGGGGGTTTGTTAAGTAATTTCACTGTGTCATTGTTGAGGTAGGATTGTTCCGTGAGCAAGATTCCTGGCTTGCAGAGATGCGAGCCTTAGTTTAATTCTGAATGCTACCTATAGTGCCACTGACACCGAGACCTCAGCATTAGCTTTTTAATTTATTTTTTTTCTTAAGAGCTGACCTAAACATTTGTTGTATTTAACACACAAGCCACGAGTATCATTTATGAAGCATCTGTCTCCCATTTTGTCTTATGGATAGTTGTTCTTACACAGTATATACGTGTGTGTGTGTGTGTATTCCTTATACAGTATATGATCTCTTATCCTTCCTGTTTACCAACAGATGGAAAAGAAAAAGCAAGAAAACAAAATGCGAAGGGACCAGTTGAATGATGAATACTTAGAGCTTCTAGAGAAACAGAGGCTTTACTTTAAAACAGTGAAAGAATTTAAAGAGGTAAGAACATTTTTGCTAATGTAAACTGGGAAGTGTACAGTGAGCCATTTTGGCTTGACTTGTGCATTAATATACGCACAAGAATTCCTAATATGATGCTTTTCACACCATGTTCACAATGTCTCTTGGTGGTTATCTCCACATGATTCTTGGATTTGGAATTTGATTCTGGAAGTTCTTTTTTCACTGATAGACCGGCACCCCTCTGTGTTACAGGGGAAGGACAATTTGTTACTGAGCAAGCTGTATATTTGGGTGTCCACACAGAATCTCCTGAAGATCTATGAGCAGTTAGGTGTTGGAGCAGAGAGGGCTGTGGAAATGTGTGTGAATAAGGGAGGGCATCCTGAGTCTCACTAGTTACAAATACCTTTAGGAACCAGCCTTGTTTTCTAACCACTCCAAAAGCGCTGTTTAACGCTTCATTGATTTAGCTTTTCCTGAGCTTTTCATCATAATGTGCTTCTGTTAATTACTGTCTCCATGATAATGAATGACAAAGTAGTGCCGTCAGGCAAAACTCATTTGGCTTCAGATGTCTGAGGAAAAATATTTTTCTGTAACTTGTCCTGCTTTGTTCGGAGACAGTTCCTTCCTGTTTTGGACAATGTACTCTGGGAGAACGACAGGGATTGTTCAGCTGCTTTTCTGACATACGGGATTTTACGTCCTAGTTACACAAGACAGGTGGAATTTATTTTATTTTTTTGTGGAAGCATAAATAAGCCATTTTTCTTCCACTGCCTTGTGAGGGAACTTCTACTTGACCTTGCTGTCCTTAAGACTAAATGAAGTCACAGTTGTGGTGCTGAAAACAGGTGGTATGTACTTATGTAAATATATTTCTTGACCTAGAGCTGTTCCCTGAACACTGACGTTTTTGCAAACTGTCTTGTGAAGTTCCAGATCACCTAGAAGTAATTTCAATTTCAGGTTTATTCAATTTATAAGTAAAAAAAGTGGATTTGCTTTAGCTACTTGTAACAACTTTAGATGAATGGTCAAGCAGTGTTCCTTTTGGCTTGAATGTCATCAAGTTTAATGAATATTACCATTGGAATATCATTATGGATGAATCAGAATTATCTTCAGCTCATCACTCACGCCAGACTACTTTGGATTTTGGAGATCTTTCAGAATAAAAGAGTTTGGTTTTGCTGATGTGAAGACAGAACTAGTGGAGTTGAGAGCAACTACCTCCTTATCTGTCTGCTTTCTGTTAACAGGAA